AGGAACCCAGGTACTTCCCAGTCTCAGCCTTGGCCACAGGTTTTGATGACATTGAATACGCTGATTAAGATCTTGCCAAAATTGGAGCAACTCCCCTCCTGAGGGTACATTTAGTTTTCAGTTGTTAAAAATACACCCTGAGACAGAAATTTTAGGACACTTAAGTGACCTAGAAATCAGTGCAAAGTTTATTGCTTATTCACTCCATAAAATTCAGGCATTGGTCTCAGCTGCCACCTCAGACAGTTCATTATTTTTACATGTCCGTGCAGATTTGGACCTCCCAAAATGTTTTGGGGAGAAGTAAACATGGAGGGATTTGCCCTGTTCTGTGCAGGAAGGAATTTAGCAAGCCTTAATCTTTCTGAGAAAGTGGCACACAGGTTTTGATGTGATTTACTTGAGAATAGTGATAGTCACGATTTATCTTATCTTTTCCCCATGAGAATGGTTGGGTAATGTTCTGATGACATCTTGTTTATCCTGTGTTTTAATCCGTTTCTATTGGTTATAACAAAATACTTGGAACTGGGTACTTTGCAAGAAAATGAAATTTATTGCTTACAGTTTTGGTGGCTGGGAAGTCTAAAGTCTGGGGAACACATTTGGTGAGGGTCTTCTTTGGTGGTGGCTTCAGTGACACAAAGTGTCACACTGTGAGAAGGCAGAAGGAGAGAGAAGAGAACGTCAGGCCCTCCCGGAGCTGCTGTACTGCAAGATCCCCAGACACCCGCATGCGTACTCCAGCCTGAGAGGCACTGCGCTCTGCTGCTATGGAGGAACATATCCTTCACTGCCTGCCTTCCCTCCCCTTTGTCTAATCTTGTCCAGTAATTTTAAATTCTTTAAAAGTAACAGTTATAGAAAAATCAGTGTCTCAAAATATCTTACCAAGAAGTACTCAAAGCTGCAGAACCAGAAGCACGGCATAAGGATTTCTGTGCACCTCTGAATTGCTTTTGAGAAATTAAAGAAAAATTCAAAGATCTGAATGGTTATGAACTTCAGAATTCATAGTAACATAAGTTGTACACACATAAGCCCAACTGAGACCTGGGGATTGGAGCAGTCAGAGACTCGGTTCTTGCTACGTTCTGCATTGGGCCATGTTCCCTGGGTGGCTGCAGCACAGCACGGAGCCACCCTTGTGGTTGGTATAAGCCTTTGTCGCTGGAGAGGAAAAGTGAGAACCAAGCTGTCAACAACCCAGTTCCTGCCAAACCCCATTTGTCTGCCTGCCAGCCAGGATTCTAAAAACGCGTTTAGGAATTTTGACTTTTCGCTCTTGGTGAATCTGAAATTCTGTATACATAGCTTTGGTGAGCTGACCTAGCTTAGAGATAACATATGCTCTATGTTGTTTTACAAGCTTCGAAATCGATTTCTAGAAGAGGCTGTTGAGAGGAACTGCCTTTCCTCCTCAACCAGTGCCCCACCCCCTGGTGTGTATGTAGGTCCCATTCTGAAGTTCCCACTCAGGTAGCCCACAGTTCTGCAAACTATGATAGCACTGGAAGCACAAACATCAAGGGCAGGGGGTTGGAGGACAATCAGGCTTTGTAACAGGAGGTGGGACCTGGATGTGCTGGGCTTGTGTAACTTTCTCATCCCTGAAAAGGGGCAACATCAAAATATTGAAGAAAATGGAGGATCACTAAATGCTGCCTGCCACTTCTGTCCAAATTTTATTAGTTTGGACCCAGTGTTGCAAAATTCAGCTATTCAGTGTGAACTTCAACTTTGGCAAGATGGCACTGCATCGCATCTGCTAGCCGTACTGTGTCACTGTACTCTGAAGTCAGAGCTCAGTTTGAATGCTGGTTTCAGCACTAGGACAAGGTCCTTACTTCAAGCCTTCTTTTTTCTCTTTTTCAATTTCAGGTTGTGTGTGTGTGTGTGTGTGTGTGTGTGTGTGTTGGTGGTTGGCCAGTGTGTGTGTGTGTGTGTGTTGGTGGCTGGCTAGTACAGGGATAGGTATATTTTTAACATTTATTGGTGGTTGGCCAGTGTGTGTGTGTGTGTGTTGGTGGCTGGCTAGTACAGGGATAGGTATATTTTTAACATTTACTTTTGTCACTTAGGGCGCACAATAACACATACAGTTTAAAGGACACCTGCTTTGTGTACCTACCCCCACAGGCGTTGTGTTCCTGTCAGGTGCGGGGAGGTCCACATAGCTCCTGTGGCTATTGATAGCATGAGGGAGGGGGCACCCGGCCTGTGACAGGAATGCAGAGAGGTAGGTGCTCACTTCACAACTTTGTGTACCTACCCCCACAGGCGTTGTGTTCCTGTCAGGTGCGGGGAGGTCCACAAAGCTCCTGTGGCTATTGATGGCATGAGGGAGGGGGCACCCGGCCTGTGACAGGAATGCAGAGAGGTAGGTGCTCACTTCACACAAGTGAAACATGCCTTTTCTCCAAAGTCTCAGTTTTTGGTGGCCTTATTAGTTTCAGAATAGTAAATGGCTAATATATTTGTCTGTGATGGCTTCATAGACTGGAAATGTACTTAATAAAATTTTGCTTTAATGCCTTCATTTATACACCTCTCCAGCCCCTCCTATGGGTTATTTTAAAGGCAGCTGGGCAGAGAGAACCAGTCCCCTTTCCCAGCTACAACACAGCCATGCCTGACACATGTACACAGTTTGCTTCACCCTCCGGTGCCCTTCCTGGACGCAGAACAACACAGCTTAATCCTCATGAAGCTTCTGAGGGGCTCCAGGGAACTGCTGGATTCCTTAAAGAAGGGAAAGGTCAGACCCGATCAGTTACGATCCTGACACTGTAAAAAAATTTCAGAACTTACATAGTTAAAAATATTTTATATTCTTTAGGTTTATACAAAACAGTCCTGTACAAAAATGTACATAATGCTTTTCACTCAATTTACATTTTATAAAGGGACAATGTTAATTTCAAATGCTTTCTGCTTACATGTCTTGTAAACATGGTTCTGGACCCATATTAATTAAAATTTTATCCATTCCCAGAGATTTTCATGACTGTATGGGTGCTTTCAGATGGAGAAGTGGATCTGCCCAGCTGCCTTCTCAAGCCACACACATGACCATGACTAGTCATATTCCAAGCAAAATGAGATTCTCTACAGAGATAACTGCAACTTGGTAGCAATATGAAGTTATAAATGTACATAGACTGATTTATCTGTATAAGTCTGTGATCTCAACCTATATACATAACATCTATTATGAAGGATCGTGGTGGAATGCACATGCTCGCGAGGACACAGTCTCTACCTGGGAAGTGGCCAGTGCCGTAGGGCAGTGCCCAGAGTGAATATATTACTATTGCTTGGAGCTGCCACGTTGGCTACCATTTGTTCAGTGTGTGACTTGATTATATAAAAATTTGAAAATATGTTTAGCCAGTCTTGACAAAATGTACTCTTTAGTACATTCTGAGGGTCAAACGGGAAAAACAATAAAAGTAAATTAATGAGAGAAAGCACATTCTGGGTCCTGCCAAATGCATAGGCTTCAGAGGAAACACTGTTCCAACATTTTAGTGCAGTTTGTCCCTCCCCATTGATTTAACCAAGTAGGTACTGAAAAAGATGATCACAGAGGCATTGATCTTGGTGCAAAAACCACCTTTCCTACCTGGGGGAAGAATCCAGGAAGCAGCGTGTCAGGAAGAACCCCTGTTGAAAGCAAAACAATTTAGACTACAACCAACTTTTCACAAAGCAGTTAAGAGTTTATGGTGTTCAACTATAAATACACCATTAAAAGGAGTAAGGTATTACCCTTAAGAAAAATGGCATCTTCATTATCAAAATCTCTAAAAAACTTTAAAATTGGGTTTTTCTTGTAATCTATGATCAGTTCTGGATACTGGGGCCCAATGCTGTCTGCTGAGAACTAGGCAACCCCCAGACAGAACCAACTGAATTGGCATCAGGGCCATCTCTTTATTCTGATAATGATCCTAAATGTTCACCTTATAAAGAATTCTAAGCTCAACCACATTCACAATCGCTCAGCCGTCCTGGGTTCCAAGACTGCTGGCTTCAAGACATCTTAATGTAGTATTTATGACACAAGCACAGCCCTGAGGCATTTGTCCTGAGAGAGAAATGTCACACATGGAAGCAGGCACACCTGGCAAGAGGCTCTCCCCGACCATGCCGGTGCAAGTGTTGCATCAGAATGAGACAAAGCAAAAATTACACCGATGCCACAAATAGAAACATCACTGATCCCTGCCCTGGCAATGAAGAATAATCTTCTGACTTCAAACTAGCAACCACAGGGAAGAAATCTAATAGCTCACAGTGCATTCTAGCTAGCAACTAAAAAAAATTAGTTCTCCAGTTTGAAATTTGATTTGGTATTTCTGGAAATTTTCCCTGAGTTGGGAAATCATCAATATTGTGCTGGCTTTTTTCTACTAATGCAGGACAAACTTCTTCTGTCTTGAAAAACTTCTAAGTAGGTCCTTATCCTAAACCTTGCACCTACATGTCTTAGAAAGTGATATTTGTACTAAATTCAAAGATGAAATGCAATAATGATATTATACTTAGTATAAACATCTATTTCAATGTTTACTCCAAACTAAACACAATAAAAGCAAGTGCTTAGGAAAATTACATGCCTTTGCCATCTCTAATTCTTATGATCATATCGTCATATTATTCATGCTTTACCTATCAGTTATTAAATAACCCTTGACATTTATTTTGTTGGCATGTGCTAGTAAACACACACACATTCCCAAGAGAGCAAAGGAAAAACCCCAGACTAGAGTATTCTGTGGGAAGCCAATTAAGACACTGCCTCTAGGGCTGCAGAAACAGTTGCTGTGGAAACAAATTTGCCATAGCATTTCTGGCAGAGCCAGAAACCACTGACTAACATGTTTTCAAATAGGATCTACTGTAAACACCCCCCTAACTACCCCCCAACTTGGCCTCCATTCTATGAAGAATATATATTAGAAATTATAAAGAAAAACAAGACAGTCCATACATAATTTATTTTACTATAACTTGGTGTTTTTTTCTTTTTATTGAATCACACAAATTTGAAAGGGGATTCCTGAATAAATCTTTTAGTTAATTTACCTTAGGCAGAAACAACAGATTTCAAAACATTTAGTTGCTTCTCATTTATATGTAGCTTTAAAAAAAAAATTCTATAATTTTTTTTTTCAAAACAATACTCTTAAGATGTGCTTTAAAAGTTAACTGGTAATGATTTGATTTATATCATAGCTTATTTAAGAGACCAATTACTTAAAAAGGACAGACTAGACATGTATTTCTTTTAAAAAATACAATTTTTGGTCATGTATATGATTCATGTTCAGATTTCAAAAATAGAAAATGTCCTAAAGTGCATCACTTTATTAATAATATAACTCCTTGAAATTATAGCAGTCTGCAATGTAAACAGTAGAGCAAAGAATACCAAACTATATTTTCATGTACATTTAAATCTGTAGGATTATGTACCATCTTTAAGTGTGTGGATTAAAACCAGGGCACTTCCAACACATAGCTCATGCTTCTACATGATTATTTTTAAGAGCAAACCTAAAAGCATTCTTTTTCCCCCAGCCCTGACTTAAACGAATTTTCTCTGACAGAAGAGAAAGAAAATCTTGCTGTAAATCCAATCTGACCAGACAGTTTCTCAAGACCCATTTTTAAAACTTACTGGTCAGTACAGTTTAGGTTCTCTTTTTATTAAAACAAAAGACAAAATTGTACCCTTTAGGAAGGCAACTCTCAAAACATAAAGGAGGGCATCCCTGCTGTTCTGTTCATCCTGCAACATTATCTTAAAAAGGCAGATGCTGCTGAAACACCTTCTCTTGTCAGCCACGGCCGACTGAGCAGACACCAGTGCTGGCTCTCACAAAGCTCAACGGCGGACCCAGAGCCCACTCTGCAGCGCAGACATAGGAGGTTAAAAAGTAACAACAAATCACAAAGCAAAGTCGAGCACACTGAAGAGATGAATAATTTGGTGTATTAAATTCCCTGGTCCCTCTAAAATGTCTAATATAGACAGCTTTGTGACACAGTCCTTGAAAAAATTATAATCATAATTGGCCACACACCATTACTTTATTTTCTTTTTATACACGATCTTGAAAATAGTGTGATTTAGATTCTGCCTTGGGTTGAGCTCTGAGGCTACATTTACCCGTCAGTTTGGAGATTTTAGTGCAGGTTTACCTTTTTTTCTTTTTATTAAAAATTAAATTCTGGGTAGTACTCAGGAGGCTTAGAACACAGGCTCCCTCTCTCCCATGATCCTCTATATTTAGGCTAAGAATTAAGCAAGACCCTTTCTGTTTGGCTAGTGCCACAAAGAACTCAAGTCAAACAGGTTGCCATAAGCATGCTGGCCTCGCTTAGTGTTTGAGGTTGAATCAGAGACTGGCAAGTGCAGTCAGTGTTCAGGACAGAATCTCCAGGCTCTTCGCCCTGCTCCCTGGTTTTAAAATCAGCATCCATGTAGCTGCTGCTACCACCTCTGTCCTCTGCAGGTGATCTAGTCCTAGTCAGGGAGCAAAATTCTTTGTCAGAAGTTCTGAGGAAACGTCCCCTTCAAACAGATTGCACCGCCATGTGGGCAGATGCAGGTTCCCTCTACCTGAGAGCTGCAGGGGAAAACAATTCACAAGAGTGGGAAAGGCGCAGCTGTGTGGAACAGTCGCTAGGATGGCCAAGGCAGCAAAGAGGGCTCCAACGCATGATCACACTCAACTGGGTCCAGGGAGAACATGGACCTCCACAGCAAGTTTGCTCTACAGAGTCAAGTCCTGAGCTCGTTTTTTATCACAGTTAGACAGAGAACGGTCTCACGTTTCTCAGTTATCCAGGGAAGAACAGTGTATATTGTCTGTATATGAGTGTGTCTAATGTAGTGATTCATCACTGCTAGTGTCAACAAAGCTCCCACTACGGTGCATGTGTGTGTGCGCACGCGAGCCCGTGCATGCACAGGAATCTTGACTTTCCCATGACAAAATTCCTAAGTCAGGTCCCATTGTCTTCTGCCATCCAGGCAGTTTCTAAGGCAGGCACTAGAAACAGGAGCCGATCCCAATGGCCTGGGGGCAGAAGGGCTGCATGCTTTGCAGGGCCAGCTCCGAGGCTGCCTTCCAGAGCTTCTTTACCAGGGGAACAGTAAATTCTCTCTGCGTCTGCCCAGCCCTTTACATGGACTTGGAGTCAGTGTTTCTCTTGCTGATGAGCACCTCCAAGAGCCTTAGTTTTGCCTTTATGTGCTTGTATTCACTGTATTCTTCAGCCATAGGAGTGCGGTCTTCCTTCTGAACATTTCTAATGGAAACAAAGGAAAAGGGGCTGATGATCATTTTCTCTCTCCTGGATGATACTGTTCATCAAGCAAATCATCGTCATGTGGGAACTTTGCAGTTTATCAACCCATAGAATCAGTGCTGCCAAGTGGCACCTGCTATCAAGACTGGAGGTGGATTTAAGCAGTGGAAAAGTTTCCCCCAGAAGGCGCCCTGCGACTGAGTTTTTATATAATTAATCTTGCATCTTGTGGAATGGTATGAAGGACGAAGCAATGCAGAAAGTTTCTCTTTCTGCTGTTATGAGTTCACATTGAGAGTTCCCAGACACTGAAGACCTTTATTCATACTTAACGCTTTCTCAATTTCATGCATTTCATCTAAAGAACCATTATATTTCTAATTAGCAATTGGTACACCCACAATTTACAGGTTTTCAAAAACAGACAGTTAATATTCCTACTTATAGAATTAGTCCAATGAGCTATAACTAATAACTATAGCTTACTGAATAATTTTAAATGCATAATTTTATATGCAGATGTACTAATTAGGAGATTATTATGGGTCAAGCTCTGTGCTAAGTACTTTGTATCCATGATCTAATATAACCCTTATGACAACTTGATGAAATAGTGCTATTACCCACATTCTACACACGACGAAACCAGGACAGAAAACCAGGTCCCCTGCAAAGTGACTACTCTCCAGCGCCCTGCAGTGCGGTGCTGCTGCTCATTTCACAGGAGGATGCACAAGGCAAAATTCAAACACAGACTTCCTTTCCTTATTATTAAAGAGCCGATGTGGGCAAGGGGGATAGCATGGGGCTTAATTTGCTGAATGAACTAAAAATAAAGCGATTCTGTACTTGCCCTGCCTTGTTCTAGGAAAGGATCCTAGATGGTTTCTCAGCAGAGGCAGGGCAGGAACAGGGGCCAAGGAATCAACGTCTGCCCCGGTCCCCACGGCACCCTCTGAGGGGCTTCACTCAGATACAAAATAATGGAACCAAAGCTCATGATATCTTAAGTCCCTCGCTGTCCTAAACTTTATGGTGATTAAATTAATTTACATCATTTACACTTTTTAAAAACTTGTACAGTAATTCCTCATGTACAAGAGGAAACCAAATATAGAGAGAAAATTGGAGGGAAACACATCAAAACATTAATCCCGAATTGTCTTTGGGTATTATTATTTTGGGAATTGTTTTATCTGCCTATCCATATTTTCTAAATATCCTGCAATGTGTGGGGAATGAAAAGTAAATATTTAGATGTAAAAATGTTTAAATCATGAGAAAGTCAGTGTAGGACAGATCCAAATCAGGGAATCTTAAAAATAAAATAACTGAGCCAGACTGGAATACAGCACATTTTAAATGCCAGAGTTAATTTGTAATGTTAATGGTGCTTTTGTTTCCCCAGACCTTAAATGATAAGAGGGGACTCATACACAGTGTAAGTAACTGTGCTTCTCTCCTCGGGCTCATGCTGTAACTCCAAGTAAGGCATCCTGTGTACAGTCACCTGGAAAGACGAAAGGCCATTTCTCAGCATCCTGTTACACGAGGATGATTAAATTACGCCACGGAGAAGGGCAACCTATCAACCAGGTGGATCTCCCGCTTCTTGTATATTTTTCATTCAAACTTGGCATCTATCATCGTTAGTCTTCAAATGAGCTTAAAAATTGGTAAGATTTAGAACTCCCTGTCCTTGTTTCTCCTTCTCATTTCTTAAGGAAAAAAACCCCAGTGCTGTCGACTGGAAACTCAGCTTCAGGCTGCTCGTCCTAGATGAGGATCCGATGTGACAGGTTAGTTTGTAAATGTCAGAGGAGCCTGCATCAGTCCTGGGCATGATGACCCAAGGGGCACTGCTGGGAGAGCCGCACAAGCCTCGTCACCTCACAGGCCCCCTCTAAGGGCCTCTGCGCACAAACCCAACGACCAAGCTGTGGGGAGGAGGCAGAGGGGACACGGGGAGGGGTCTGTGGCAAGACGGTGGAGACGGGGCGGAAACAAATGCACTACCTTCCATTTTGTCTGAAGAAATTGTCTTCAAAATCACGAAGTTTCTTTCGAATCCTTTTCTTTTCTTCTCTCATTTCCTGAAGGTGTTCCAAGAGTTCAGGTCTAAGAGGGAGGGAAATTTCAAGAAAATTAAGTTAAATCTGAATTGTTATACATGAAATGAATGTGCAGCTCGATAGAGGCTGTGGAGAAAGAGGGAGGTAAGTAAATGCAAACACTGCTGCGGGCACTAGGGTCAGCAGGAATGGATGTTTTCTTTCTCGAGATTCCAAATATGCCGACAAGAGATAAGCTTCTGAGGGCTCCTGCAGGCTCCTGCTACTTATGAATTCTTAGGCCTTGTGAAATCCCATGGCACTTTTCATATTTTTCTTTGAAAGAAAGAGATGACATCTGTGCTCAGTGTGTGTTAAATGGCGAGCTGTGGCGTGCAGACCCACACAATGCCATTTATAGAGACCTGCTGGTTGTTTAAGCAAGATCTTAAAAGCTCCCTTAAATAATATGGGATGAAGCATATAAAAAAACTGAGCTAGAACTTTTTAAAAATCACTGTTTTATCTACACAGATGCACCTCAGGTAAGTCACTTATGTTTTGTCAGCCAATTTATTTACACAGGAAAGTTATTTTTACTGAAGTATTTCACCACCACCACCAAAATGACAACATACATTGAAGCAGCATGGAGATTGGAAAGCCCTGTGTCCTGGCTGCATTTTGATGGTATTTTTTCATCCATTGGAGAAATAAATCCATCGGCATCATCTTCAAATTGGTCCAGAAGGCAACGTGCACTGAAATCTGTTTTCAGAGTGACCGTGAAGTCTGGCTTCATGTTGCTGTCGTCTTCTGACCCCTCCTCTTCTTCCTAGAGACACACGGCAACCCCAGTAAAAATGCGGTCACTTTCTGAGGCACTCTTTCACTGCAAGTTATCATTTAATTATCCAGACACCATACAGTTTCTTCTGCATCTACATTTAGCAACACATGAGGGTGCTTCAAAAGGCTCACGAAAAAATGAAATTAAAAGATAATACAAATCTTTCTGTAAACGTTTTGAATGTACGTTATAGATATATTACTGAATTTATGTATGCATTAAATAACACAAACACTAAACCCAGCCTCTCAATAGGGAAACAGACTATAAAACTATTTTTAAAAATGTGTGTACAGCACAATTAACAGTTGTCAAGGATGAGGGTAGGAATATCCATCATAATTTACACCCTAAGTCAAATGAACCAAAACATTTCCAGCTTTGTGACAGTAGAAAACAAAACCCATCACCATTAATCAGTGCTTTAAAAGATTCTATTCTGTGTATCTCAGAAGATAATTTTTTAGTAGGCTCTGAACATTTTCTGAAATCAAACAATACAGCCTTTCTATGACGGTACTTCAAAAAGTCCCCAGAAAGATTCATATTATTTTTTTATTTTTTAACACAACTCTTTATTCTCAATTCATATTATCTTTTAATTCTATTTTCCCCTGAACTTTCTGAAGTACCCTCATATTTAAGGGTTGAGATTAGAAAATACTTTGTGGTTGCTTGATGCACAAAATTTTAGGAAACTTTTCAGAGGATTGAAACATTTCTGTTTCCATGATTGAAACCATAAAACTCATAAGCTTTTTCAAGGAACTTCTAAGAGCCAAAACTGTATTTTTCAGCATCCGAGATTCTGAGAAAAGTATGATACTGTCTTGATGACAATGCAAATAGAAAAACAATGACATCAGATCTGTGTCAGTACGATGTAAAGCTATGCAAGCCTAAGGAAGAAATAATATCAGAGTCTGAAAGATTCAAAAAGAACTTTACTGCAAAATGTAATCAGACCACAGAGAATATGTTAATATCTTAAAAACTTTAAAAATTGATTAGGAGTAGAGCTACATGAACAGTAGTAATTCTAACATCAATTACTACAGTTACACCAGTAGCTTCAGCCACTGCGGCAAATACGTCTGAGAGCCCAGCACCACACTGACCGGGAGGATTTCCTTACACACATTTTTGTATGTCTGTGATGATGCCTCTGAAAAGGAATAATGTGAATAAACAAACAGAGCCAAACAAACAAAATAGGACTATTACATAACTAAAATAAAAGTACTGTTATGAGGCATGAAGGTACAATTGGCAAAAGCTAGGTGGCTTTTCCAGATTGTCTCAGCTGTGACTTCAGACCTTCAATCTCTTTGCTTTGTCAGTAGAATAAATGCCTCAGTGATAAAATTTTCAATTTAAATGACTGAAAACATTTTTAAATGTACAGAGTACAGCTGATTTTTTAGAGGAGATTTCCAGCTTACAAAGAGTTTCTCTTTGTAAGAGGAAGTAACAATTCCCATCTATGTAGTTTTTTAAAGAATTAACTGAGATAATGTATGTCAAGAACTTACTAAGGCAACCCTGACGCGTGCAGTGCTGGTCAGTTTTTTCCTCCTCCTGCCCCTTCCCTGGATGAGGAAAATGAGGCAGAACCACCCAGCCACAAACTCAGTGGAGGCAGGGATTATACACCAAAGTTATACACCAATTATATACCAAGTATATACATAATTGGTATATTATTATATACCAAAGTCCTGAGAGAACTTAAATATGTGAAAATGTGCCTTGCACCTCATGAGTACTCAATTACTCTCAATAACCTTTGAAAATCTTGGGAAAAAGGGAAATTGCAAAAAACAGATCTTCAAATAAGACAAGTGTTGTGGATACTGGGTAGATTCTAGATGAAATTAATACACAGATAATGTATGAAAAATTGGGAAAGAATCATTGACCAGCTGACTAGCGCTGGCTCTTCAAAAGCAAATCATGGAAACTAACCATTTTCCTTTTTTGATAAGATTGGCATAACACCTGGATTTCAATAACGAATGATTGACGTGAGCAAACGCTACGAAAGGAAAGCTGGCAGCCCAGATTTCTGCAGAGTGATGACATAATGGGGACGTGAGCCTGGAGGGAAGCCCATAGCAGGCTCTCGACCTGACCCTGCCATACTCAACATTTATCAGTCACTTTGACAGAGACATAAAAGGCATCTTTATAAAATGTGTAGATAACACAACGTAGGCAGGCATATCTGGTATGCTGGAATACAAAATCTAGACTTTATTTCATAAGGCTGAAATAGAAGTATAAAAAGTAAATTGGAATAATTCAAGTAAATTGGAATAGCTGTGTCAGGAAAAAGAAAGCTGGACACACAGTTGGTAAGTGATTCATGGCAAAGGAAGCTGGACACTGCACAAGCACACAGCACAGTATGTGTCAACAAGGAGACAGGACTTGAGCTCAACTGCTTCTTCAGCTTGGGTGATTCTGTCCCCTAGGGGACACTTGGCAATCTCTGGAGATATTTTTGGTTGTCACAACTGGGAAGGGGTGGTGGCACACTATTGGCATCTAGTGAATGGAGGCCAGAGACATCGGTAAGCATCCTGCGAAGCAAAGGACAGTGCCCCACAATAGAGTCATCTGGCCCCAAATGTCAACAGTGCTGAGGTTGGGATACCCTGCCCTGGGAAAGACTAAAATGAACTCAATACATTGGCTGTCGCTTAGGCAAGGACTTAGAGAACTGAAAGGGCCTCAGCCGTCCACATCAAAGTAAGAACTAGTCCTTGGTCCACTGTCCTGATTAAACCTTATCTAGAATAATGTCCTGTTCTGGGTATCAGTTTTGAGAGGGACAGAGATAAACCGGTGTATGTGTGTACAGTAGAGTCAGTAGACTGCTGAAAGGTCTGAACCCATAGCACACGAGGAACAGCAAGAAGAACCCTTCTCAGGGAAGGAGCAGTGTGTTTGTCTATGTTGCTCCAGAGGGCAAAAGTAAGCCTATTAGATAGAATGTGATAAATTAATAACTATGAATATTATCATTTTCAATTATTCTCATTAATTGTAATATTTTGTATTTTTCCAACATATACATTCTAAAATTACATATTATATAATTATATTGTATTTTATAATTTAAAAAGATAATTATCAAACTAATCATGTAAGTTTTTAGCTATAATTGATACTCAGTCCATGTAATGAGCAACCTTACTCTCCCAATCGCTGTGAACTTTTCAAGCTCGGGGATGGAATCCCTTTGTAGGCACAGTGTCTCTAGTCTGTCAGAGAAGTTTCAGAGGGGATTCTTATGTTGGATAGGAGAACTAACTAGATGATTTTTAGGATTCTCTGCGTGGGAAGATCTAGGGCTTCAGAATTTGAGTTGGCTCTATGTCATACACAGCTGGTTCCCTTTCACAAGCATTTAAAACCAGTGGTAGGTTTTAAAGAAACTGCTTAGACACAATCTTCTTATCTGCAAACACACCAAATTCTAAATTGTATCAGAATTGCCAAGAACTAGTACAGTCCAAATACATGCTAAGGAGCCTGGCCAACTGGAACAGAATGAACCAAAAGACAGTACTATTTACAAAAGCAATGTAATCACTGGAAAATTATCTGAAATTATGACCATTATGTGGGCTAGCAGATGAGCCATGGCCAAAATATACTTGTGAAAAAATTAAGCTGAAGGATAAGAATGGGAAGAATGTCCTCTTTTGAAAAGAGCATCATTAGGATATCTTCAATTCATTTAATGAGGCAATTATTAAGTGTCATATTTTGGATGTGTTCAAAAACATTTTATCTAGTAACAGTTTTATTGCATGCTGCTAAGGGAAACATGCTAATTTTCATGCACACAATTGCCCACATTTCTTCAATTATGGCAGTTTAATTCTTGTGTAAAATTACCAGCCAGACAAAATTTGTCTTCTTTCATCAGCATCAAGGCTTATTGTTGAAAGAACGACAGGACCTGAGCTGACAGTTCACCGGAGAAGTTCCGCTTTATTTGAGGGTGAAGCATACATTTATAGAGAGCCGAGTTCTGGGAGAGGGTGGTTAGTACGCGGGGCGATGGCTGATTGGTCGGAAGGGCGGGTGATGATTTTGATAGGCCATACTTTGGTGCCAGCGGGAATGTTAGGACCCGGAAGAGAAGCCGGAAAGGCGCCATGTTTTAGGGAATGTCTCCTTTGGGGTTTTATGGGGCCCTACATTTAAAGCGGGACTTCTCCGGTGAACTGTCAGCTCGGGTCCTGTCATTCTTTCATTGGTGTCGAAACCCGGAGGAGCTCACCCCTTACCCGAGGGGACTCCTTCTTGGACCTCCTTCACTCTCTCGGCGGTTCCCGCTGCTGACGCTTCGCCCTTGTCCATTTTCTCCGGCGCTGGCGTTCCGCACCCACCACCGGCTCATCTAAACGTAAGTCTCCCTTTAGAGGTGCCATTTTAAACTAGGACTACCCCTC